CAGACTTCTCTCCAATCACAATACAAAACACACACCGTGACTGGTAAATTAGTATGAACAAGTTAAATCAGAAAGATCAATCTTTATTGAAACTAAGAAAGATGAATAAGTATGAACAAGTTAAATCAGACTCCTCTCCAAGCACAGATGTCTACAAGCACAGATGAATCATAAATGAAACTTCCAAATTTTTTATTCAAACTAAGCCACAAATCAAGACAATATCTAAAAACTAGGCATATCAAATCCATTTCCAAGAGATAATAACTGAACAAAAATAACGGACACTATATTTATGCTATTCATTTAAATCCAAAAGTTCATAACACTACAAATACCAAGTCAATAAAACCCAAATCAAAGCCCTAATTTTTTCCTGTTGAAATCCCAAATCAAAGTTCTAATTTTGAAATTTCAAATCTATTTTCTCAATCACAACTCTAACTTTTTAATTTCAACGTTTCGAGAACGAACCTGGTTCATTATAGCCTCAGAACCCACGCTCTCCTCAACAAATTTCTTCGCTCCAACCGATGGTGGTCGCGGTGGAGTTATGGTTCATGAAGCATAGAAAATGAGGGTTGGAGCTGTGGGTTGGGTTTATGAGTGTGTCGCTGTCATTGGGAGTATGTCGTCGTCGGGAGTGGTCGCCGGTGAGGCTGGGTTCGGTAGAGGAGAAGGGATGAGTGTGAGTGTGAGTGTGAGTGTAAGGTTGAGGGTGAGGGTGAGCGAGAGTGTGAGTGAGAGTGAAGTGAATGTATAACTTGTGTATGTATAGCAGTGGGTGGGAAATTTACTGAAATTTTCATTTGGTTTTTTTTCTTTTTAGAGCCGTTGGATCGGCAACGGCTGATCTTAGCCGTTGCTTGTAGGAAATTAAGGAGAGAAGTTAAGAAGGGGATCCAAAGTTAAGTAGGAATTTTAGGATTTAGGGTTTTAGGATTTAGAGTTTAAGAGGTTTAGGATTTTAAGGTTTAGAGTTTAGGATTTTAGGGTTTAGGATTTAGGATTTAGGATTTAGGGTACACATAACCATCCTACCCCCCCTCCCCTCTCCTCCAAAAAAAAATAAAAAAATGATTCGAGGCAAATTCGCGCCTCAAAGTTCCAGGCCTTGAGCACAACTCTACAGATGACATACCGATATGCAACTCATCAAAAATTGTGCTGTGGGCTTCAAAGTACGGACACCTGATGATGTTAACTTTCTTTGTTAAAGTGTGTTATATAATAAAAGCGATAAGAATAAGATTCATTAATGTGTGTTTAGTATTTGATAATTTAGAGAGTGAGTGTGCGTTCTACTAATGTGCTTAGATATTTGTTAAAGTGTGTAATATTTAAGTATAAAGTTCACAAAATATATATATATATATACATATATTTATAAAAACAAAATTTTAAAAAAAATACAATAATGACGAAACTACAAACTTTCTCTCACCTTTCTCTCTTTCCTCTGCCGATATGGTTGACCCTTTTTTGTTCCGTCTTTTATTTTTTTCTCTCTCTTCAGTCAATGTCTCACATGTTTGAGAAATTATGTATTCCTCCAGGAATGGTATTCATATCATTTATGTTTGGACAGTGTTCAGTTATCTTTTCAAAAAAGATAAATAAGTAGTGAGACTCACTATTTTAACTAACAACATTTAGATTGAGACACCACCTAAATTTGTTTATGGAACAATGAATAATTTCTCCATTTGATCATCAAGAGGCTCTCTACATATAGCAAACACTCTAGTGAACATCAGCTTCTCCACTACCTAGCAACACTTTTAGCAAATCCATTGGAGAAAAATAAAAAATGTTCACTTGCTAACTGACATAGTCTGAGCTAATGAACCCATTGAAAACTCCATTGGAGATGCTCTAACAAAAGTCAAAATACTATATTAATATCGGGTTGGCTAAGTTTCCATCCTCATTTACATGCTGCTTGGACTTTTTGATTTATGTAACGAAATAAAATGATTATTCTTTTGATTTTTTTATGAAATGATTGTTTTATTAAATTGGCTAATGATAATTTATTTAAAATATATTTTTATTATTTTTTTAATCAATCAAATATTAAAATGAATAATCATTTCAATCCACTACATTTCCATCAACCCAAAAATACACTAAAGAATATCTCAAGTTGTTATGAGTGGAACAAGTTTCACTTGAGACTTTTAAATTGTAGTTTGGTAAAAAAAAATTTAATTGACTTTTTTAAATTGGAAGCTTTTTAGCTTGGGACTAAAAAGTTTATTTGGATTGATTTTTTATTTTTTTGATTTTTATAAGAAAAAAATAAAATAACTATAATTTAAATATAACATTTTATCTTATTAATTTATTTAATCTATTTTTATTTTTTATTTTTTTATATGTTTTTAGATTTAAAAACCCTAGCCAGACGAAGCCTGAGTCTAGATGTTTGAATTGGGAAGAGCCGTGCTACCGACCCCCAGTGGAGTGACCCCCAGTGAGGTGTCGCCTCTCCATTGGCTGAAAACAAAAAAATAAAAATAAATAAATAATAATTTTTTTTTTGCACCAATCACACGCGACCTCCAGTACCCCCACGAGGTCGGAGGCTTTTTCCCATTCTATTCAACTCCAAAACTAATTTTGAGGCTTAGGTAGTGATGTGACACCTTTAAATTTGACATCCTAAAATTAGGCACTCCAATTAATGTGTCAAATTTATATCTTTTTTTAGTAATTTTTTTTTTATTTTTTATTTTTAACTTGAAGTTTATGTTTCAATTTTTTTTGACAAAACTCAACGAAGGGTATGTCTTTAATATTTTGTCGACGTTAATGTATAGATGCTTGATTAAAAATTTAGTGGTGCTACATATACTAATTGATATACTAATATATACGTAGACATTGTCACTTTAAAATTATAGATTCATCCATTATACAAATTACAAAGATTCAAAGCATCTAAAATCATGTCATATCATCTATTAGTATACTAATTAGTATATGAATTAATATATCAATTATTACATAAAACTTTATTCTTAAAAAGTTGTTTAGGTACTAACAATAGTGAATGCCTTCTTAATTTCTATTTACGATCAACACATTATAGCTACGAAATTCTTCAACTTATACATGCAAAATTGGACAAATTGATTTTGCGCCAAACCTATTTTAAAATTACAGAACAAAACAGAATTAAAGGATGAAAATTAGGGAAATTGGGTGACAAAATTTTATATATATAAAAATTGTTTTGTTGTATTTTGGGTTCGACACTCGGCAGTGAAATTTTTTTTTTAATCTTTCTCTATGATGGTTTAAGGCCCATCAATATGATGGGTCTTAATAATTAGTGAGTGTTTAGAATTTATTTTTTGATCTTTTTGTTAGTTTATTTTCGTTTTTAATGAACTTTTAAATTTAAAAAGCTTTAGGTTTCTAAATTTTACTCGATGAGACAAATCAAAAATTTTGAAAATAAAATAAAAAATCCCAAAATAAAAAGTCTTGAACGACAAAAATAAGTCAAAGTATGGAATTTTTTAAACTTATTTTGGTTTTTAAAATTTCTTTTAGATGTTTTTTTAAAATTAACTTTTTAAATTCATCTACACAAGACAAACCAGCAAAGTAACAAATTTTGACATAATTTTTAAAAAAAAATATATCACTAAAGACAAAAAAAAAAAAAATTAAGAAAAGGAGGGAGCTAATTCATTACTCCCCAAGTTGGGGAAATATTAGTTTCGTTTCTAGTTGTTAATGAAATAAAATTCTAAATATACATAAAAGTTCATCTTTAATGATGTGGGAATACATAAAAGTCTAGCATTACTCTACATAGAATTCATACAAAAAAAATTGACAAAAATAATGTGACAATACCATTATTGTAAATAAATTTATCTTTAATGGCGTTTTATTTTGAAATGCAAAGTTCACAATAAGCCACATCTTTATATATAAAAATTATGTATGAATTTTTTATTTATATAACATTACTCGTTTATGAAACAAAACTGATATCATTCATAATCAAAGAGTGAAGAGTATAGCTGCAATTCTTGTCACAAGCTTCAGTCTATATTCAACAGAGTACATAGTTATTAGGGGAATATCAAAAAAAATGGAAAGTAGAAAATAATTTGGGAAAATGTCAAATAAATGGTATTTATAAAAAAAATAATTACAATTTAGTGACAAACTTTATAAATATTAATAATTAAAAATCATAAACTTTCTCATAACTTCGTAATTATTTTTTGAAAGATCCACTTAACTGTACTTTCTCCAAATAATTTCAAACTCATAAGTGTATTAGTAATTTATGTGCTAAATTTGTACAAATATTATACTTCCCATTCTAAAAAAATAAATAAAATAAAGGTGTTATACTTTCATAAATCTACAATTATTTTCTTTGCTTCTTACTTTTGGTTATGTTTCCCCTAATTATTACACACAGCCCAGTGAACTAATAAGCCAACTAACTCACATAGGGGTGAGGATTGACTGGCCAGTTCGGGTTCAAGCTGGTTAAGCACTCGTTTGGAAAGTTAGGTAGGGTTGAGTTGAGGTTAAAATAGTTATAAGAAAATAAAATAATTTTTTTAATTTTGAATTGAAAATGTTATATTTAAATCATAATTATTTTATTTTATTTTTATTTATAAAAGTCAAAAAGTCCATCACAAATGAGACTTTTTAGTTTCAAACTAAAATAATAAAAAAGTCAAAAAGTCAACCCACATCTCAAATGAACCCTAAGTTAGATTCTAAAATTATATTATTTATCTAATAAATCTATATATTAAATAAAAAATAATATGTTTGTAGTTAACTTACCAGAGATTTAATTTTTTTCCTAGACGCTCAATTAAAAAGTTTAAATTTAAATTTGTGATTTTAAAAAAATAGAAAAGTAATGTGATTCAAATCAGCTAATAAGTTAGATTTTTTTTTTAATGGTCAAAATAGGCCAAATGCTGTTTATCTGCACAAATTGTTTCCACCAATTTCAAACTCTCTTCCTTTTCTGTTTCTCTCTCCACAAACCCACATCTCTGTTTCTCTATATTTGTCCCAATTCCTTAAAACCTAGCTCCAGATCTCTCTTCTCAACACCCTTTCCGTTCCGCCATCACTACCGTGGGTTGATCCACCACTACTGTTGACCAGCACCTTCGGGGATAGATCAAAGAGGGAGAACATTGTCGACACAAAACACAACAATTTGCAGTTCGAAGCAGAAGAACCACAAATCTTTGGGTATAGCTTTAGTAGATAGACATTCTATACATATACATGCAAATATATGTCTTGTACGAGTATGTTTGAATATACAGCTCCGATTCCGATTCAGACCCCTACGGAAGGTCACCCAGCACCCCCACTGAGCTGGCAATTGCCTTTAGCATGTGAAGAATAGTTGCACTCTGGTAAGGTGTGATACACGCACCTTTGAGATAAAAAAATAAAATAAAAAAAAATACACGCACCTAACCTCACTCTTCCCTCCTCCGTCCAGAAATCGATGGCATTGCTCTCCACTTCGTTTCTGTCTGTCGCTCTCTTGATTCCTTCTTTCCTGGTCCGTCCGTCCGCCATAGCTCTCTTTCCTAACAAATCTATGGCCATAGCTCTCCGGAAATCAACGATCATCGTTTGCCATAGCCCTCTTCCCCGGTCCGTCTGTCTGTCGGTTTCCTGAATCTTCGATCATTTTCTGAGGTAATATTTTCCCCCGTCTTTGTCTCTCTCTCTCTCTCTCTCTCTCTCTCTCTCTCGCCTTTATACACACATACATTCATCAATCAAAGAGGCTTAATAATCAGTTTTAGTTTGAGAATACATTCAGAAATAGTTTGTTCTATGTAAATACATTCAATGTGAATGCATTCATCAATCTCTCTGTATGTCTGCAATGCCGAGTGTGAACACATTAGAGAGACTTAATCAGTTTCAGTTTGAGAATACATTCAGAAATAATTTGTTCTGTGTGACTACATTCATCAATCTCTCTGTTAATGTGTTCTGTGTTCATACACACATACATTCATCAATCAGAGAGGGTTAATCAGTTTCAGTTTGAGAATACATTCAGAAATAGTTTGTTATGTGTTCTGTCTTCCAGGTCTGTGACTACACAAATTGTTCTTTGTTCCAATTTGTTAATGTATAGATTGTCTCTGATCTGTTCTGTGTTCTCTGATCTGCTCTATTGAAATTAGTCTATGTTTTTCGTATCTTTTTTTTAACAAACTTTAGTGTCTTACTTCTATTTGTGGAACTTCTAAACATGTCAAATATTACTTATTAGATGAAGTTGCTGTTTGAAAACTGGGACTTACCCAGTAAACATTCTAAAATCATTCTATTTCAATTTCATTTTTCAAAGTGGAAGAATGGAGGTTGATTCAAATGGTGGTAACGATCCTGCAGTAAATAAGGGTGAACAAGTTGAAGAACCTAAAAAGGATATGTATTTTAGCTCAAGGGAGGAAGTGTACACATTTTATGGCAAATATGCTAAGCATGTTGGATTTTTTATAGCTCATAGAGCACGACATTTTGGAGATGATGGACAATTAAAAAACTTTGCAATTGAATGTTCTCGAGTGGGGGAGAGGAAAAAAAAATCAGAAGTGAACCCTTTGAAGCCATCTTTGTCAACAAAAATTAGTTGCAAAGCAAAGGTACGAGGTAGTCTACAAAAGGATGGGAGATATATGTTAACCACAGTCAACCTTGAGCATAATCATGATTTGATTCCCACTGACTCAAGTCATTTTGTAATGAATAAGAAAATTCTTACTTCTGTGAAAAGACGATTAGAAATTAATGATCAAGCGGGGATTGAGGTGTCTAGGAACTATCATTCAATGGTTGTTGAAGCGGGGGATACGAGTCATTGACATTTGATAAGTAAGATGCAAGAAATTACATTGATAGAGCTAGAAGATTGAGGCTTGGGGAAGGTGATACCCAATCACTTCAAAGTTATTTTATGAAGATGCAAGCACATAGTGAGAGATTCTTTTTATGTGATTGATGTTGATGACGAGTGTCGCATTTGAAAATTGTTTAGGGCTGATGCAAGGAGTCGGGCTACTTATAAAGCATTTGGAGATTTTGTTTCATTTGACACAACTTATCTAACGAACAAATATGACATGCCATTTGCTCCATTTGTAGGAGTTAATCACCATGGACAGTCCATTTTGCTTGGGTGTGGATTGTTATCTAGTGAAGACACTAATACATTTGTTTGGCTATTTAAGTCGTGGTTAAGTTGCATGTCAAATCATTCTCCAAAAGCTATCATAACTGATCAGTGTAGAGCTATGCAAAATGCTATAGAAATTGTATTTCCACAAGCTCGACATCGATGGTGCTTATGGCATATAATGAAGAAAATTCCAAAGAAGTTGAAAGGATATGCTGAATATGAATGCATAAAGTTGGCTACGCAAAATGTAGTTTATGACTGTTTGACAAGAGATGAATTTGAGAATCAATGGGAAGAGATGCTTACAAAATTCAATCTTTATGATAATCACTGGTTGGGGGTACTATATGATGAGCGGTATCGATGGGTTCCTGTATACATTAAAAACATATTCTGGACTGGCATGTCAACTACACAACAAAGTGAAAGCATGAATGCATTTTTTGATAAATATGTCAACCCGAAGACTACATTAAAGCAATTTGTTGAACAATATGACAATGCATTGAGAAGCAAGGTAGAGAAAGAGAAGAAATCAAACTTCAAGTCTCAACACAAATTGTTTGATTGTCTAACTGTAAATGGCTTTGAGAAGCAATTTCAGCAAGCATATACCAATGCAAAATTCAAAAAAGTTTAAGGAGAGTTGAAGAGATTAGTTTATTATCAAGCGGTGATTGTGAAAAAGGAGGAATCAATTTGTACATATAATGTCCAAGAAGCGATGGTAGTTTATGAGAAGATGAAGCATGTGGACTTTGTTGTATATTTTAATTTAATTGAATGTGAAGTTCAATGTATGTGTTGGTTGTTTGAGTTTAGAGATATTATGTGTGCTCACTCACTCACTGTGCTTGTGAAAAGGTGCATAAATGAGGTGCCAAACAAATACATTCTACCACGCTGGAGAAAAGATTTGGTTCGAGAGTACACATCCATCAAAACCGCATACAGTGGCTTTGGAGGTGATTTCAACGCAAGTTGTTATGAGAGGATGAATAAGAAATCGATTGGCATTGTACAACTTGCTAGTAATTGTGAAGGGAAAATTAAAATGATAAACCTTTGGTTGGATGAAATCAAGGATAGAGTCATGAAAGATGAATCTAATGATGGGAGTAATTTACAAGCTTGTACTACTTTCATACCATCTTGTAGAAAAAGTCCAATTGCCACCGGTTCTACAATAGTGTCTACTACTAGGAAGGTGATTAGTCCTTTGGTTCCTCGGCGAAGAGGCCATCCAATTATGAAATGAAAGGTTGCCAAAGTAGATCAAATAGTCAATCAGTTCAAGGCAATGGCAAAAAAACAAACAAAAGCAAAGGTAAAGTGTACATTTAGTTCAACTTGTTATTTATTTTTGTTTTTTACATTATAGCAATTCAATCATTAATCATTCTTGAAAAAATGTAGGCTGCTAAGGAGCTTCGATTTGAAGCTGAAGCTCAAGCTCAAGCTCAAGCTTATGCGTCATATTATCCTTATATGGGTGGAATGCAAAATAGTATGTATGTACCGGTACGTATTCATAAGACGACTTTACATCAATTGCTTGTTTTCATTTAATTTTTTTTTTTTTTTTGTAACATCTACTTTTTAACTTGAATTATCACAGGTGGTAAATGCTATTGGAGGAACATCTATTACCCCATCAGAGTTTATAAGAAGCACACCAGGAAGTCTGATGAGTGCACCAACTCAAATTTTTGGTTCTGGATCTCTAACCCCATCGGGTTCTAATGCATGCACACCGGGAATGAATGATGGGCATTATAGACATGTTTGACTTGTTTATTGAACTTTTACAATTAGTTTTTGAGATTAGAACTTATTATGTTAAGTCCCACCTTAGATGTGTAAAAAATGTTGTGTATTAATTACCAATGAAGTTATGTTATTTTTATTATTAGTTATGTAATGCAGTTCATTTATGAAGTTAATTTTGGAAACAAAATTGGCATTTATTTCTGTGCCTGGGTTATTTATTTCTTTATGGTTGCTAAAACTCTTAACACAACTACTGTTTGTGATAACCTTGGTGATTCTGTGCCTTCTGCTCCTGACCTTGCTGGCCCTGCTTGATCTGAACCAGTCATACAGGGTTCCGCAATTCTGCTTCTGATAGGAGGCTGTTTTGGTCTGGATTGAGGGTTATTTATTTCATTATTTACAAGGTTATACATGGTTATTTATTTCATTGTTTTGGTCTGGATCTGAACCAGTCATACAGGGTTATTTATTTCATTATTTACAGCATAATTCTTGCCTTAGCCAATCCAAGATCATGTGTCAATCTTGTAGGAAAGCAGGGTCTACTGAAGGGGCCTTTTAAATTTGAGAACATGCAATTGAAGAGTTTTTTCAAAAGGGTTTGGGGTTGGTGGAGATATAAACAGGGTGAGGGTCTCTATATCTATCTTCGTAAAAGTAACAACAGTTCTTGATGATTTATTTGAAGTTATGGAATAGGGATTTGGCAATTATTTGGTGATTGGAGGGAAACTTCAGCTCAATATTATTTTTTTTACGTCATTGTATTTTTATATATGGAAATAATTACATTTACATATCTGGAGGCACTAAATTTCATATATTTTTTCCTTTTATTGATATTCATTTCTTTCAAAAAGACCTGAAACTTCAAAAGGAAGGAAATAAATAGCATATATAGTTGTCATATATAGTTGTTCTCATAATTCCAAAGGGACCTGAAAGTTGCAGAAGGAAATAAATCTGTTAACATGCAGAAAAATCTGTTAACATCAATCTGTAGACATGCAAAAAAAAAGAAATAAATATGTATCAATCTGTTAACATGTTGCAGAAGGAAATAAATCTACTAACATCAATCTATTAACATGCAGAAAAATTTGTTAACATCAATCTGTATACATGCAAAAAAAAGAAATAAATCTGTATCAATCTGTTAACATGTTGCAGAAGGAAATAAATCTATTAACATCAATCTGTTAACATGCAAAAAAATCTGTTAACATCAATCTGTACACATGCAAAAAAAAAGAAATAAATATGTATCAATTTGTTAACATGTTGCAGAAGGACCTGAAACTTCTCATCCTGTTCAATGTTAATCTGTTAACATCAAATATTCAAGAGCATCTCAAATGGCAAACACATGCAATACATAACCAATATTGGAGGTCAACAAAACTCAAAAAAGGTACAATACATATTGAGTGTAAAATATCACAGTACCATACAATACTGTTCACTTTACTTCTCCTTCTACTTCTACTTCTACTTCTAAGTTGCATATATAGATAAATATATATATATATATATATATTATTACATCTTCATAAGTAATAAGGCACCAATTACAAGCAACACAAACAACACATATTGCATCTTTGCGCTCTGAATTCGAAGTTGTTCAGTCATTGATCTTTGTTGTTCGGTCATACATTGAGGGTGCGACCCCCACTGGGGGTATGCAGCACTGCTGATAACCAATATTGGAGGTCAACAAAACTCAAAAAGGTACAATACATATTGGCCATGTTTGATTCACAATACTAATAGTGAGGTATTAATAATCCTATCAAATTAGTGTGGTATTAACTATCCCACCCCTACCCCATTACTAATTATCCTACAAATTTGTTGGATTAATTATCCATTGGATTAATAGTCCTAAACCAAATGTCAAAACAAACATAGGATGGTTGGGCCCACGGATTAATAATCCTAATCCCATACTTTAATCCTTCCAATCAAACATGCCCATTGAGTGTAAAATATCACAGTATCATACAATACTATTCACTTTACTTCTCCTTCTACTTCTACTTCTAAGTTGCATATATAGATAAATATATATATATATATATATTATTACATCTTCATAAGTAATAAGGCACCAATTACAAGCAACACAAACAACACATATTGCATCTTTGCGCTCTGAATTCGAAGTTGTTCAGTCATTGATCTTTGTTGTTCGGTCATACATTGAAGTTGTTCGCCGATAGTTGGCACTTCTCCTTGTGCTTGTCTTGGAATTTCATGGCCTCTACATTGTGAATTGATAGGAAGGCACCATCCAACAAAACTACCACAATCAATGCAAGAGTTGAATAACTTGTTTTTGTTTCGATCGGTCTCGAAAATTCGAATAGTGGCCTTTTATTACATCTCGAAATTTTTTTGTTCAAGTATGTCAACCGATCTAAGCTACTATCATTGACACTTGAACTTGATATCTGCAAAAACAAGTTATCCTCATTAAACTATTACAATCAATGTTTAAATTTAAATTTATTTAAATGTTCACAACGTAAATAACAGCCACAAAAACCAAACACCCAAATTTAACTCCTAAGACATTGAATTTTTAAATGAGCTATAGAATTTTCAGATTAGTACAGTTTCAATCTTGCTATATACTGAACCATATGAATCAGAGAACATAATTATCAATACAGAGAAGCATTTCATGAGGTGGGATTTAATCCTCTGATGAATTAACATGTCACACATTTGGTTGATGAAGAGTGAAGAAGTATGGACCAAAAAGTAACAGAACTTTAAACACATTGATAGGTAGAATCAAGATTTATCCAAAATGGTATCTTTTGACACATCCTGAGTGCCAATGTGTTTCAATGATACATGGAAGAATTAAAGAAACTCATTAACAGATGGAGATGTGACCAAACAGAGCAGTAATAGCAGCAACAGCGTTATGAGTCTATGAGATGGTAGAGATGATTGGTAGGATGGCCTCTCAATGTCTTTATTATCCACCAATTTGGACATGTTTAGAGTTCACAGCAATTATTAAGGTATTATGCTAAGTAGTTGTATTATGCTAATTCAGAGTTCAATTTTAGGCATTTACTGAACAACAATTTAACCCATTTAACAATGTTTAACATTGACCAACACATTTTAACCCGCACTAATCAATAAATAACTATTCTGAAAATGGCCAACAATAATTTAATGACAGCTATCAACAATTTCATAACTACTAAGAACTCAGTATCATCAACCAACTAATTACCATACTAAATCAATGAACAACCAAGAAATGTTGAAATCAAACACAAGAAGTCATTCCCAAGCCATTTACCATACCCAAATGAATGGAATAATTTATGAATGAGTGGAAAATTTGGTAGAGGAATTTCCTCGAACAAGTGGTAGGTAAGGTAAAGTATACTCAATTCCCAAATTAAAAGGCCAAAATCCAAGATTCAAATTGTTTATGAGATTGTCAAAAGCCTAATTCCAACATTTTCAAGCATTCAACCCATCTTGTTTATCCCAAGCCCTAATATATATACAACATACATATATATCTACAAGCCCTAATATATATACTGAATATATATATAAACAGATATATACAAAATTATATTCTTGCATCCCTAGAGCCACAGGGAAGGAGAGCAAAAGAGAGAGCGAGTCGGGCGTCGGAGTGAAGGGAAGGACACCAAAACAGGAGTTGTCAGGCATCGGACTTAAGGAGCTTGTCGGGCGTCAATTTTAAAGGGGTCGTCGACCGTCGGAGTGGAGAACAAAAAAATAAGAGTTGAGAGAAAGAGATGAGAGTTCTTATATCTCTCTGATAACTCAGCTCCGATTTTGAATTCTGAATGATGAGAGAGAAAGAGGAGGTGCGTGGGTCTGAAAGTCACATGACCACTCACATGACTTTCCAGCTCAGCCGGGGTCGTGGGAGTCGAATTTAGTCCGGAGCATTTTTGTTGAACATATATATGTCTGTTGATCTTTATTTTTATAATTTTACTAACAATTTTTTCATCAAAATGATTAGAGAGGTTGTAAATCATACTCTATTTATCAAAAACAGACATGTGGAGTACTTTGGAGCTTGCGAAATTGACACATCTCTAAATAATCTTGAGGTCATCAGCCATGAGAAAAAGATCCTTGCACGATTTCGAAACAACTACCATACCGGAGAGGCTAGTGACGGCGACTTGGGAGAGAAAGTCATCTATCCTTATGGCAAGGTTGACGTCGCAGTATTTATCAGTCATTTGTAGATACTCGGCCGTATAACAAAGAACTGCGACGTTGTAAACCACGATCTCAAAATTGACGCCATAGAAGAACTTTGCTGCTTTCTCGAAGATCTCAGGTCGGGTCTTGGGTGATCTCGGTGATCTTAGTGTTTGAAAAGATAGGTTACTGATACAAATTTGAAAAGATAATTTGAATTATTTTTTTATTTTATTTTATTTTATTTTGGTGGTGGTGTTATTGGGATCTATGACAGATAAGATAACAACAAATAGGAAGAATGAGAATTGTTTCAACAGATAAAACAAAAGAGTGTTTCAACAGATCAAACCTTGAAATATAAAAACATTGAATTTTTATTTTAATAGATTAAAAAAATGAAAAGATAGGTTCAACAAATAAGAAAAAATAGGTTAAAAAAATTCAATAGATAAAAATAAAATAAAAAAAAGAAAAGATTTCAACAGATTGGTTAAAAACTCAACAGATAAGTAAAAAATAGGTTCAAAAATTTCAACAGATGGGTTCAAAAAAATTAAACAGATAAAAAAATCCAATAGATAGATTAAGGGATAAAATTAAAAATAAAATGCCTTCCAAAATAATAAAATGTACTCGTTACTATAATATTTTACAAAGAGTATACTTCTCACCAATATATATATATATATATATATTCGTAAGACATAATGCCTTATACCTTCCTTATCACCAATTTTCTCTTTTTCATTATATTTTAAATTTAAAATTCGATGGGTATATTTTCCGTCATTGGGGTATTTCTTCATTTCAAACAAAAATACGATTAAATAAATTTTACATATATATAAGATGTAGGATTATATGATATAGATTAATAAAATATATTAATAATTGGGTTGCACTCAAAGACTTTCCAAGCCCAAACAATTCAACAAATGGGCCTAAAA